TAGCGAGCCTTCTTCACGATTCATGTCTCATCTCTTCTAGCACAGAAATAACTCAAATTAGGTCTTGTTAATTTGAAATGAGTTGGTTCTCTGAAATAATTTCCATAGTTGCATAGAAATGGTTTCCATAGTTTGAAAAGGTTTGTATTCCTGCAGTCATTTTTAGTTCCTTGCCACGCTACACTGGGTGCTGCAGACCCTGATAAAATGACAGAAAGATATAAGTAAATACGGCACAAGTGAATATGTATTTACTAGACGGAAAAGGTTCTAAAGATTTCTTACTATTAAACAGAGTTTTGATGGTCCTTAGATAGAATGTCGTCTTTATTTTACAAACATGTAGAATGGAAATGGAAACATGGCCTATATCTGCTACCCTGCTCCAAGACAATTATACGAGAGTATGTCACGATGCTGTACGGCTTTGAACAGCTTTGAGTGCAGACTTTAATAGGAAGACACAGTCAGCCTTTGAATGAATTGTACTTTGGCCTGATGTCTGTTTTTTGTAAAAAGTTTTAATAGTACCGTTGTCTAGTGAGGTAGACCTGGGCATCACATAAATTGTCTGCAAGGCAAAGTAAACAAATTACATTTTCTTGACAAAGAACAAAAACTGGTTTAAAAGATTCAGACCACTTACACGAATAGCAGGTTAATTTGTGTAGTCATAGTCATTCTCCCTTTTCATTTGGCAGGCGTGGGAGAGATGCTGCAGCATGTATGCTGGCATTTTGGCAGTGAGCATGTTCCCAGGAAAATGGAACTGCCCATTCAACATAGGAATGTAAGCTTTACTGAATATATTGCTGATTGTGCCAGACAACTATTCATAAACAGATTAACTTTTGTTCCTCAAGCAAAGAACTGTTGTTGCTGTTTCTTTCTTGTGAGCCATTTCTGAGTTGTCTTGAGCCAGCAGCATGTCTTCTGGTTTCATTCATATGTTCAGTCAAAGAGTGATATTCAAACTGGTTCTCAAACTGAAAAAACCCACATCTTTTTCATGTATACAGTTTCTTGCCCACAAGTTCATTGAAATGCCTGGATATTAGATTTCAAATAAGGGAAGGGTAATTTAGTATACTGGGTCTTTAATTGTTTTGTTTGTTGATGTCTGTCTTACATGTCATCCTTTCTCAAATGTGTTTTCTTGTTACTTCTCATTTCTCTTCGTGCTGAGGTGTCCACTATAGTGTGTAAGGAGATTAAATGATGTCCTTGACATCAGCTTTTAACAGCAGCCATAGTATTTTATGCTAAGAAGTAGTCGACTCAAAACCAAGCTGAAGATGTTAAGCACATGCAGCTGCATCACAATTTGAGAAACCTGACCAAAACGTTCAGTGCTCCCGTGGACAGACGCACTATATAGTTGCTACTGGAAAACTGTTCTTAACCCTGTGGGTGGTAGATGAGAGCAAATGTAGGAGTGGATTTAAGCTGTCTCCCCATATAGAGTGTCTTAAAAAAAACCCCAAAAAACAAACAACCAATCAAACAAAAAAAACCTGAATTGGCAGTTTGGTAGGATTCAGGGTGGGGAGTGAAGGAACGAAGGATCCTCTTCCTTCCTGGAAAACCTTAGGCTAGCAGTATATTTTTCTTTCTTTGAATAGCTTCTGTAATACATCCCTCAGGTAAGATAGGAGTGGTTTTTAAAGACTTAATATTTTCTGGGGGGTTGTAAGAAGTAAATGTCATGCTTAATTCCACCCCTCCCCTGTAATTAAAATAGCTGAATGTACGAGTTATCTTTTCTGGACTAAGACCAAGAATGAAAAATGTCAGCCTAAGCAGTTTCTTTATTTTTTTTTATCATAGCTATAGCTGTATAAATATCGATTGTTAAATGCAAGTTCTACTCTAATGATGGCCATTTAATAGAAAATTCTTAGCAACATCTGTTTACTCATTAATTTGGTGCCACACACTGCTTTTTAGTTTATAAAATTAATGTAGTTTATATAAAGCTAGTCCCACTCCAGTTACTGTCTTATTAATGTGAATGTAGAGATGTGGAGAAAGTTCCTATGCTCAAACAAGTAACTGATTTCAGCCTAGCAGTTTTGACCAGCCATACAGTAACACCCTAATGAACAGAAAACAGATGGTTCTGTTTTCCCCACACAGATTATGATAATTCATAGATGAGCTGTGAAATACTGTTATTGATTTCTCTTTGGCTTGGGTTTTTTGTTAGTTTACAAGTTGAGCAATAATTGAGGAGAGGTTTTTTGTTGTTTGTTTTGTTTTTTGAAACAAGCAGAGTCAGGTAATATGTGCTTTCCTGTTAGTTTCTTGACTGTTGAGGCTTGACATGAAACACTATCAGTAGAATAAAATTGAAAGGTAACATCTCATGGTAAAGGAGTTAACACCGTGATTTTGCATTCCAGAGATTAAGACCAAGGCCTGATATTTGCCTGACACTAGTGAGTGCTTCCCCTGAAGCTGTCAGGACTTTTCTTAGCTTTTTTGTCTTTATCTAGAGCAGTTGTTTTCCACTTGATTGCAAGGTGGTGGTGGTCAACAGGTATCCTTCCATTAAAGGACTCTTGAGGTTGTTCTCACGAGACAGCTGGGTGTGCAGTTGTTCCCTCTTAAAATGTCTCTCTTAATGTGACATAGGCTTTGTGAGGTGAGCTAGCAGAGTTTTCATCTTCAGTGGAGGAAAAGGATACCAGTCCTTAATGTCCCCTGTAAAAAGGGTGGGAGACTGGCTGTGTACCACTGCCTAGAGTCTGTTCATGGGATTAAATTACATACTGTCTGGACAACTTCTGTCTCTTTTTTTTTTTATGAAAAGTGCAAACTGTCAGTGAGAGAAGAGTGGTGCCCTGTGTCAGGCTATGGTCTCTTTTTGTCTGACATGTTCTTTGAAGTAGAATTTTCCTTTTTCTTTAATCTTAGAAGCTTTTTTTTTTTCTGTCTCTTTTTTTTTTTATGAAAAGTGCAAACTGTCAGTGAGAGAAGAGTGGTGCCCTGTGTCAGGCTATGGTCTCTTTTTGTCTGACATGTTCTTTGAAGTAGAATTTTCCTTTTTCTTTAATCTTAGAAGCTTTACACCAAGTCTTTACAAATCGGAGAGTATAACCATATTTAAAGTTGAGGTTAAAAAGGAGTGAAGCAGGAATACATACTGCTTAGAAATGCAGATTTTATTGCATGTTATTTGCAACAAATTATATATGTAACTATATATGAAAGGGAGTCCTTGGAGTTCATAGCCACTTTTATACATTGTTGGCATTTTGAACTAAAATTTTTTTGACCACCCCCGAGAACTGCATCTGCAATAAGATTAAAAACTTATGATCAAAATGAGGAATAACCATATATAACTTTTGGCAACAGCATATGGAATAACGCTCTTTATTCCTTTGCCAGTTTTACTTTCCTTTCTGAAACGTTTGCTCTGGATCAGTGTTTGCTGTGAAAATTACCCACGTGTCCATTAAGTATATTAAGGAGGGAGGCAAAAGAAGCTAGTTTAAAGGAAAAAAACTTTTATAAATTTAGAATACTTAATAGAGCAAAAAGTCAACATAAATTCTAACTGTTCTCTTAGGGCCCCTGGTGAATGTCCATACAAAGGTTGAAAAATCTGCTTCGTTAAAGATAAGAGCTTTAAGTTCCGATAAGGTGGTCGAGGTGCAGCTAGCCTTGAGCGTTTCTCACGCCACAGATGCTTTGGCTTTAGAAAAATCTTTGAGCTTGTTTTCTTGCAAGGTCCCAGTCACTGCTGCATTCTCCATCCTCTTCTGGCTTGGCACTGTCAGAGAGGAAAATGGTGCAAGGGAAGAGAAGTTTTGCTTCTCATTAGCAAGCAGCTGCACTTTGTCCTTGGGTGTGTATAGGCGTGTATATGTATATGAACAGTAGAAACTCAGGCAGCTACCCGCCCCCTCCTCTGAAAAGACCATAGTAGGGAAAGCAGGAGGAGTTTGGCCAGAGGCAGAGCACTGTGTGTGGGTGGGTTGGGATGGAGAGGGGGTTAGTGGATGAACACGTTACCCCAGCTTCACTTCCATCCCTGGGTGTGTAAGTGCGCTCCTGAATGCTTTAACGCAGCTCCCCTACATCCCTCCAAATAAATATTTATAAAAGAAAAGGTAGTTAGTGCTTCCCATTTTTCTGGTTCCCTTCTCAATTTAACTTAGCTTGTTGCGGAACAGATCTTTTTAGCTTCCTTATTTCCTTCTTTGGGAAAGACGGTATTGTACGCAGAAAATAGCAGTGCTGTCGCTGTGGGGTCTACAAGGCCTATCATAAAGTTGACACATTCAGGTTTTGTGTAGCAAAGTTTTGCTTGGGGCTACAGGGTAATGCTGTGTGTTGGAGCACTGCAGTAGATTTTTGTGGGCCTGATCTGGAGTCGGGATGCCAGACGTGGAGCTCTATCTGAAGACATTGCTTCGTAGTCCCTCCAACTCAACACCCTGAATACTTGCCTTGCCTTAGGTGACTCAGCAAAAACTTAAAAAAGTTTTCTGTGAAGGACAGTGCTCCCTGGAGCTGGAGGATGTGCCACTTGGCCAGCTCAGATGCAAAGCAGCAGCTTAATGCTACCCTGCTGTCTTGGAGTGAAAGCCTGCAGGGGGGTTGGAGTACACACCGCAGCACTTGTTGAAATTTGGTTATGGATTCTAGGCGTGACAGATAGTTCTTTCAAAACAAAAGTCTGGTCTTTAATAAGTGGTTTTATTTGCATATGCTAAATGCTAGTTTGTTACAGGTATACTGTATTTTTTATTGAATGGACCTTTTGCTGGGCACTGACATACAGTCCCAGGCAAAAAACAGTTACTGAAGAAAACTGTTTTTGCTGGAGGGAGTTATAGCAGAAACTCTGGAATGATGTGTGGCTTGCTTTATGTGGACTTAATGTATCAAATACTTTGTAGTTTTTTGAGTTTGCTATGAAAGCATAGCCCATGCTGTTCCAGATCTTTCTCTTGTTCAAATTACAACCTGACTTTTACGGTTTCTTGCAGGCCAGCCCTCCAGATCTCTATATTGAAAGATTTAACGTAGCTCTTGGACAGTATATGGGAGCATTGCAGAGCATTGTGCCTCTTTTCATATATATGGTAAGTTTTAGAAAATTCTTTTCAAATAAAGTATGTCCATACACAAGATGCCAACTGAAAGTGAAAAGAATAAAATGCAGCTATAATGATTTTTAACTCGTAGAACTTACGATTCATGCCTGGTTTTGCCACCTGCATAACAGCACTGATCAAGTTGTGCGGAGGGAGGAAGGGGAAGCCGTGCTTTTAAATGTAGAATTTTGCAATTGGTTTCTGCCCTAATATTTCTTTCCTGGGAGTGGGGGGAATGTTTTTTATTTTGATTGTAAAAAAGCCTTCCCAAATAGTTAGGTCATTATTTGTATCTTTTTGAACAGAGAGAGTTTATTGGCTTGTTATATGTTGGCTTGGTAGTTTGGGCAGGCTACAAAGATGATTGTTTCTTGCTGTTAGATTGCACAGATTCCGACAAGACAGACAGAAATGTCTCTTGGAAATGTCTGTGTCACTTGATAAAGCAATTGAGAGCGTTGACTGGATGAAGACAAACTTATGTTCATAGCGCTGTCAGGCATACTTGCAGAGGTTCAGAAACCATTGGCTCTACGTGTTTGTCGTGCTGATTTTGTAATTTATGAATTCTTGTATACTTCTGAAGAAGTTTATAATTTGCATTGTTTTTGTCAAATTGCCAAGACTTTTATTGGTTTTTTTATGAATAACTTAAGCTTGAAATTTGCCCTTCTCCCAGAAACCATCCTTGCATTGGCATCACTTAGAAATAAAAACTAAAGGAAGTATTTGTTGGGAGAGAAACCTTTTTTTAAAAGAAAAAAAGATTTAAACTGATTGATTTAAATTAAATAAACCTCAAACTCTTTAAAATTATCCTCATGGTAGCTTCCCAGAGTTTGAGAAGCAGTATCTTTTAGAAGGATCTCTTATATTTCAGCGAATGCACCTGAAACTGGATAATTTGCTATAGTCTTTCAGCATAGTGTGACCATATAGATTTGTTGCATTAAAAGAGGAATTTGCCTTTCTTGAACTGGGTTTCTTCTAATGTACTCTTTATCTAGTTAATACAGAATGAGGTCCCTTGCTACAGCTTCACTTGTAAGCTAAGGGATGTGTTCCTAGTCATGATTTTTATTTTTCTCCTGGTTCCTGTCATGAAATGCTGGGGGAAAAAAAGCTAGGAAGAGACTTTTTCCCCCTGTTGCATTCAGATATTTTTAGATGCTAGCCATTTTTTCACCTGTGTGTGCTTGACTTGTTTATTGCAGACAAGTGATTAAGCAATCTCATAATTTAATATCCATTTACAAATGGAGATAAGCTGTTCAGGTGTGTACTTTTATTGAGAGGTTTTTCCATCACAGAGGTCAAAATCTATCCTTAACGATTAAGACTGCAGTAACTGACATCTAAAAAATGATCATGGTAGACATAAATGGACAGCTTTTATCATTATAAGCTTTGTCTGTATGACCAGACAAGGTATAATTGCTGAATAGATTTCCATATCTTCCTTTGTACACAGTTGTGTTGTGGTCTTTGTATCTTCAAATGAGGAATGCTCTGTATCCCATTGTTTCTTTTTTTTAGAGTTTGAGTCTAACTGTTATCTGAACGTAGTAAAAATGGTTAATGAGTAATAAACAGACCTGTAAAAGATAGTAATTTTATTTGAGAACAAAGAAAAGTGAAAGTACTCTATCGTTTTAAAGGAGAAGCTTCTTTAAATTATGACTAGTGATTTGATCAGGCAGTAAAACTCTGTTCCTGCAAACACTTTCTCATTTAAGTGACTTAATTCAAGTTAGGCCTGAGAGTTAGTCACTTATGTGTTAGTTCCTCTTGCTGCCAAACGCAATGCTGATTTGGCTCAGTTATATAGCTGGTTTTGAAGGCTAATGTCAAATGAACTCTCATACTTTTTCTCTGAAATAATTTATTAATCAGTGTTGTGCATGATGTGGAAAATATCTCTAGAGAAGTCAGGATGAAAAATGTTTTCCTCTCTTAGTTTTTTCTGTATGCATTTGGAAGTACTTTTATGTACAGCCACTCCTGCATTTTTACATTGTAGTACCTAATCAAATTTTCTCTCATACAGCAGCAGCAGTAGTTTCCTTTCTTTAGAGAAGAAAATACAATTAGAAAACAATTGCAAGAGGTGAAAGCCTAATTATTCTACAGTATAAATTAGAGCTTTTCAGTTACTTTAATAGATACTTTCAATATATTTTTAAGTGAAGAGGACTAAGTTGTTGAACTCTGCCTTTTTATCAGAGGTGGCAGGGCTTTCCTTTTTTGGTAGTAATGTGATTAGAATCATAGAATCGTTGAGGTTGGAAAAGACCTCTAAGATCATCGAGTCCAACCTTGCTTTAATCAGGAGTTTCCAAAGCTGTTGAGCTGCACTGGTAAACTTTGTTCTGAAAGGATAATTATATTGCTGCTTAGGAAAACTTTTAGTCTGCATTTAAATATTTTAAAAATGTATGAAGCCAAGGAAAACCTAAAGGTTTTTTGTACAACTGGAACGTGTTTGTCTTTTGGTGGCCAAAAAAGGCATAGTATTTTGACTTAGGCTTAGTCCTGTGTGTTTTGATAGCAACAGCAGCACTTTTCTTCTTTCTCTTGGTATGTGCCAAACCGTATTCTTGTGTGTGAAAGGTGGGAATACAGGAAAGGTGTTTTCTTAACCTGCTTGTGTATGGTGACCAAGGTGTGTTTCAAAGCTTATCTTGAGTGATGGTTGAGAGGGCTGACTTTGCAATTGAGGGAGTTTTTCTTTTTCCTTCTTTTGCTAGGAGCACTAGTGGTTTTCTGTTTCACATGGTGATGGGTTTTTTTCAGTCTTATGCTGCTACAGTGGACTTTTCAAGAAAGCATGGAGGCCCAAAGCACTTTTGTCCCTCCAAAATTCTGTGGGTTTAAGCTCCTTCAAAAGTTCTGGGATGTAACCGCAGATAAAGCAAATTAAATTGGAAGTCAGCTTAGCACACAGTGCTTTATTCCTAAGAATAATTCTGAGTGAATAACTGTTTGCTTTGTAAATATAAATGAAGTTATCCTGTATGTTTACAGATTGTAATATCACAGTATGCTGCATACATGAATGAATAAAAGTCATATTTCTACTTCAAGAAAAATTAAAATCAGCATTTAGATGATACGCTTTTTTATAATAGGTTCTCAGTTGTTAATTATACTTAGAGATGTAGCTGAAAATCTGTTATCTTGTGGCATGAAATGAGGCTAACATTTATGAGCACTGTGGTTTTAGGATAGTTAAGAATTTTTTCATTGCCTGTAAAATACTACTATTCTTACTGGGTGGTATCGCACTTTGTTGCTTATCAGATAGAGGGCATTTTGTGTGTGTCTGTATACACAAATATATGTGAGTATGTCTGGATGAGATGATAAGCACTCTTATATACTGTTTTTTCTCTTTCAAGTATTTATTGATCTCCTCTTAATAATATTAACACAATTATGTCTTTTAATGTTTGCCAGATTGCTTTATGATATGGTGTTTTGTGGAAGAAATGCTTATATCATATCTGACTTTCTCAGTTATTGATACCTGCTTACATTTTACCGGTCAGTTAGACCTTTAGGTGACTTGACACACTTTTCAAGAAATACTGGTACAGCCTAGGTAGTGACATCTTCTACAGAAAAATCTTCCTGTTTTTCCACTAACAAGAATGGGGAAGGTGACAGCTCTTCTGCTGTCTCCTTTCAGCACTGTGGATTGGAAATGAAGTACTTATGTTAGGTGATTTTTTTTCATTGTCTATTTAAATCCATGCAAGTTTAACATCTTTTTGGGAAGGTGTTTCCAAGTGAGCAAATGTGAAGAGTATTTTACAGTTGTTCTATGTATAAGTACTGTGTTGTAACTCTCTTCCTTGAAACTACTGGGGTTTTTCTGTTGCTTTTCTAGTTACGAAACTTAAGGTATAGGCTTTCCAACTCTTAAACAATAGAAAACATCACAGTTTGCACATGTCGTTGCCAGCTGCTTTTAATGTAAGAAGGTCTGGAGGCTGGAAAAGGAACAGAGTAAGTTATTTCCTTAGCTGGGTGCATCTCATCTGTCAATTCATAAGAATCAGTAGTTTGACATTGTCAGGTTTGATTCAGGTCAGTAGACTTGTGCTGAGATGCTCTGGTCACTCCTGTGTGTTGCACCAGTGGGTACATGGTAGTACATGGTCAGGAAGCTCAAGGTGGAAATGGTTTAGGAAGTTAGGTCTGATGAAAGACTGTAGTATGGTGTGTAGCTTAAGACTTCCTAGAAGATGTGTATCTTCAGTTGCAGTGAATTTCTGTTGCAATGGCAATTCACCATTGACCAAAAATATTACAAATGAAATTAGTCTGTTTCTTACAAGATGGGTTATTCTGTCTGCAGAGCCTTTCCCTCAATCTCTGTTCAAAGAACAGGCCCAGGTGAGGGGGAAACAACTGAGTAATAGCCCTTGATAAAACCTCTACAGGTAGAATAGCTTCAGGGAGGGAACCAGCAGTAGGAAGCTGTTAAATTTTTAAAAAATCTTTTTGAGAGTTTTGTCCATCACTGCAACAAACCTAAACTTCAATAGGGGCATGTATTCAGCCTCGGATTGCCTTTGTTCTAACAGGTTCAGTTTTCATTAAAGGTAAATAACTGCTGCTGAATGCTTGCCTTGAACATTTAAGTGGTTTCTGCATGGACAGTTTGGTATGTGTATAGTTTTGGTAATGGCGAAGAGAATGGGTTTCACAAAAAAATGAAGATTGCTCTAATAGTGTTCTGAGGGCTTGTTCCAATTATGTTAAATGCTTTAGCGAACAGGAGAACAACTTGATTTAAAGTGTGGAAAACCCTTTTTCTCTTCCTCTAGTAAATCTCTCAGATAAGTACGTTATTTTTGATTAAGGTGATGTTCTGTTACAGTATCTGTTTAACTCTTGCGTAAGTTGTCCAGATGAATTCAGTTGTTCTACTTCTGTGTTAGTGTTGTAACGATAGGAGACTTATCTTGAAACAATTATTTTTTCCAGCATTTAAAACCTACCTATGAATTAAAATACAGACAAGAAATCTTACTCTATTAATTGCAGGCTGGGAACTGAGGAATAACACCAAATAGTACATTAGGTATGGAGGCTCTCAAGGAACTCATGAACAGAATTTCCTTTCAGGGTTGAAGAGGTGAATTTATTATTAATGCTGAGTGGGGTCAAGATAATTGAATCCTAAAAATTTTAATGTAGTTCAGTTTTGTATAGATTTGGATATATCACTTATTTTCACAGCTAATTAATTCTGAGTAGCTATTCTCTGAGATTATTGATGAACCACAGAAGTGGTTAGCTGTACTGATGATTTATTATTGTAACATACCTATTTTAATGGCTTAATCACTTTTAGACATTGGTAAAAATGTTTTCTTTTGCTATAAACATGATGTCCAGCCCTATTTTGGTGTTACAGCGTTTATAAAGTTCTAAAAATAAGTGTTTTTTTCTACAAAATCCCCAGTCTGGATCGATATGGAGATATATCTGCAGATACAGGAAAAAAAAAAAACGCACGCCTGTATGTAAGTAGGATTGTTACCAGTAGTACCACATGCATTCTTAATTTTAAATACATGTTTTTTTGTTGTACAGGAATGTTCTATTTAGTATAAATGCAGTCACCAAGGAAGCACTTTAGAGGTCAAATATTCTACAGCTTTAAAATTTTGAACTATTTTTATTCAGGGGAAAAAGTAAATTTACTTTATTTGCTATTATGAAAAACAAACTTGAAAACTTCTGTCTTATTTTCCAGAATAAATTTTACATAGAAACCAAACTTAACAGAGACTTAAAAGATGACCTTATAAAGCTGTTTACGGAACATGTTGCAGAAAAGCACATTTACAACCTAATGCGTAAGTAAACCTATTGAATTTTTCTTATAATGGGAGTCTGGAAAACTGTAGTACTTTCAGATATTGCAGAAATCCACAGCAAATAGGGAGAAAATGGCAAATGATTAGTGAACTTAAATACAAATCCTTTTTAAGGCATCCACATGAAGAAATGTGGCACTTAAACCTTTTTTTTTTTTTTTTTTTTTTCAAAAATATGACTTTGTATGAAGTCATGGTTTTCCTGAGTATCTGGGGGAACCAATATATATTTTCCCTTATGACTTGTGTTTATGACATAACAAATGTTTTATTGTCCTGTTGCTTATGCTGTTACTCTTTAATTTCATTATCAAAATATTGACAGGTATCATTAAGAATGTGGTGTGGTCAAGGAATTGTGATACTGCTGGGGTTATTGTCATGATGTACTCAAGTACTCCCTGCTAGTTAGTGAACTGCATAATGCTGACAGCAGTTTCTCTGTTAAGCTAATGGGTTAATGCAAATAGAATATGCTTCAAGTGATATGCTTCCCGTTAAGTGCTCCTGTGGGTAACTCCTGTGGTGAACTACTGAGTTTGCCTGCAACCTGCCACCATCGGTGTGTGATTGTGTGAGCGTAGGGACCTTGCTACTGGTCTGGTTAGCTCCTCGAGAGGGCAGTTAGCAAAGGCAGAGATAATCGGACTTGGGGTTCAAACTGGAAAAGTTTGCACAGAGGTGAGCAGTTGACCAATGTGCTTGGAGAATTGCAATTGTAGGTGCTTTGTGCAACTGGATAATTCCTGTGCCCCGTGTTGAGTTCAGTATCTAGCCTGGTGGACTCTTTCTGTGACCCAGCCCTACTGTAGTGTCTCTGTTTTCATCTAGCTGCTCCCCCCCCTCTTTTCTCTGAAGCAATTGCTGTTTGTATGCTAAATGGAGACCAAATGATGGGCGATAAAAGTCGAGTATGTTTCTCCTTTTGCCTTTACTTGGGTAGTAATGCCCTTCTCTCTCCAGCGAAGGGCTGCAGGAAAGGAGCTTTGCTATGTTTTTTAGGGTCACTGTGAGTTGGTATCCTGGGAGAAGGGTGGGTGAACAAGGTGACTACCCTGAGATCGGGGAGCCTGGTACCCTAGAATGATAGGAGATCATCAGGTTTGATGCCATCTTGTTCTTGCCATGTGGAAAAGTCTCCCTAAGAAGAGCTTTTAGCCATGTAGCAGATCAGATCACCTTGGAAATAGCAGGACAATGAGGAACGCCTACCCATCAACCTGATGTTTTATTTTGTGCCAAAGAGGTTTAACGGTATCACGAAACCTGGTAAGATGATCGCTGCAACAGGATCATGGAAAATTCAGCTGATATTGCCTTAAAATTAAATACATTTAATTTTAAGTGTATGCATTTTTTCAGGCAATGAAAACATTAATGTGATTTTTTTTTTCAATGACAAAGCAAAGGTAACACTGGTCAAATCTTTACAACATAAGTGTCAGATGTGTGTTGCTATGTAATTTGTTTTCTGTAGATGATAATATGAGAATCAAATAGAAATAGCAGATGAACTATTGAAAGGAAAAGACCTGTGGTTGTGTGTGTGTGAAATCTGAAATACTTTCCCCAGCTCTGTGTTAGTTGCAGCAGTAAAATGAAAACATTGAAAAATAAAAATAAGCTGTCACCAACTGTGTTGCTGTATATGGGGTCTGTTGTTTAATGAGCAACTTATTTGGATTTCATTTCAGTCTTACTGTCAGTTCATTAAAACTAAATTACTTAGTTTTTATCTTACAAGTAAGATAATATATGCTGACATGTTAAACTTCTAACTGTGACCTGACTTGGTTAAATCTTGGATAATAGGATCTTTAAATTAAGTTAAAGTATGCCTAAATAAAATTCTAAACTTGCTAACAGATTCCTGGGAAATAATTGAAGACACATAGCACATGGTATAGTACTGTAGAGGTGCTGAAAGAGATCTAGTGTTGTATTATTTTCTACTATTCTCAGCTGTTCTTTCTAGCTTGCTGAAATTCAGACCATAATAGCTAAGAATAATACCTGCATTTTTGGAAGTGTAAGGGCCCTATGAAAATAGGATATAAGTCAGTGTTTGTTAATTACTTTACTTCCTGATGTCATTGTCAGTGTGTGGTACTGTCTCCTGAGGTTTGATATGGATTTGGTTCAACAGAAAAGTGTTTTACTATTGGGGGGGAGGAAATAAGATTTTGAGTGGGTATGCTTAGGAAATTAAAGTCGATGAAATTGTGGTCTATAGAGAAATGAGAAATGGAATCCTGGGGCTGTTTTTTAAAGAGGTACTGCACCTGCCACTTCAGTGAGAAGCATGCCTTCCCTCTATTTTAAAAAACAAACAACAAAATCGGTTTAATCAGTTTGTGATCTATACTCAGAGGACAAAAATAACATATGCTTTTGCTTTTGGAATTTGTTGCTATGTTTTTCCTACAAAGGGGTTTTTGTTTGTAGTATCTTGTCATTCTATCGGAGCCTGGAAGCTTGCACTTCTATTTGAAGTTGTGTTCTGGAAGGACAGTAAGTATACTTCAGGTTCATTTGATTTAAGAAAAAGTTACTGCTCCACTTCAAAAGACGGGGAAAAAAAAAGTCAGAAAAGCAGTGCAGCACAGATCTCTTCCTTAGTGTTTGATCTTGCTCAGACTCCCACTGGTGGAGTCGGCCCTAGTCCCTGTGCTGTGTGGTTGAAGGCAGGAAGATGCAAAATGAACTCCTGGTACAATGGTCTCTGTGGTGGGAGCACTTATCTGAGCACTTAGTTGCAGAAAATAGAGTGATTAAGGTGTGAATTCATTATTCACAGAAGAAATATTGTCTAAGTGAACTTACTTGGACAAATTTTGCCTGCACAAATACCAATTTGGTTCCTTTTTTTTTTGATAGAGGAAATTTAAAAAAAAAAAAAAGAGCTCTACTATGTAGAGCACTTCTGAGCAGTTAAATACATTAAAAATTATGTAATACACAGATCCATGAACACGGTTGTGTTTGTGAAACACTTATACTACACATATCAAGTCACTGCTCTTCAAATTAAAGTGGATACATTTGAACTAAGTGAATATAACCTGATGATTTTCCTTACAGAGCCAAAGCTGGCTCTTGCTGGTAAGACTGCTATATTACATGGCTTGGGAGAAGTTGCTGTGTGCAGAACGACATAACTGAATGTAACAAGCAAAGATATAGCATCTTATTTACAAGAAGTTTCAGAAATGGGGGGGAAGATGCAGATAATATCCCCTTGTCACTAGGGAAGGGGTGGTGGAGAATGTTGCCTTTGTTCCTGCTAGAGTCCTGCATGAGATGACTTTAAGCAGTAAAATTCAGAAACGTGTTTTTTCTCTTTATGCCGCCACTGTCTTTTCTGGTAGGTTAGACCTGGGTTTCCTGGACTGTAATCTCAGTGCCCTAGAAGCATTCTACCTGTTTGTTCTTGTGTCTAGAAGAATGGCAATTATTGCAAACTTTAACTGTCTTCAGTGGTGAAAATGAGTAACAGCTCCTGAAACTCTCTACTTTTAGTACTTGCAGTAGGTAAAATTCAATGGCAGAGAGTATTTGCAAGTAACTGCTATTCTTCTCTTTTTTGATATTGGCAGCTTCGTGCCAAAAACAAGCTTTTAAGTCTAACAAAAGAGAAAAGCTATTAACAGCATGCTGTTGTTTCTGCTTGGTGGATAGATCACTTGGTTTCCAATTACAAGAGTTTGCAATTACCCCATTCTCTTTCCAGAAACTAAAGAAAGGAAGGTGAGCACTGGGCTGGAGTCCTGCTCTGGGAGGGTTGATGAGGTTCTCAACATCTCGATATTGAGAAGAAAAGTAACAATAACTTAAACTGGTCATAAAGGTGAAAGCAGTTTTAGAAGGCAATCTGAGGAAAAGAATTCTCTTTATTCTTTTCTTGCAGCTGTGTTTGCGGTGGAAGTAGGATGTATCGGATTGGTTATGGCACTTCCAAATAAGTAGTAGCCTTAACATATCACTGTAGTACTTACGCCATTTCTATCTCTGTGTGTGTGAGCTGTTTCTTTCCTTCCATGTTAGTATTTTGAGTTCAGGAAGTGGTTTCTACTCGTGCAGGAGAAATGTGCTGGTAGGTATCATTCAGTACAAATTGGTTCTTTCCAAAGAAGCATCTGCCTGTACTTCTGGACAGAAGTTACTCAACTAGGAAGTCAAGTGACCTCTGTCAGAGGGAAAACTGCTTTCTTCAACACTTCTGATTTTGTTCCTATGGACTGGGGTAAGCAATGGATGTTTGCGTGTTCCCATCTTTGATCTACTCTGTCAGGAGTAGATCATAGAAACAGGTCCTTTTTATCCAGAGGAAAGGAAACCTCTTGGACCATGGCGAAATGCTGTAGAATAAATAGGGCCCAGGACTTCATGGGTCTTAAAGTTGTTGTCAGGATCCAAGGTGATAATACAGCTTGTGAATGAGGCAATTCCCTGAAATTTACTGGTTCAGAACTAGAACGTGGGCTTGAAAAGATGTGAAATTTAGGCAAAATTATTATTGAGGATTAAAGCATTAGATCTCAACTTCCAGCTCTTAGGTTTTTGTTCATGATATATGTCAAGATAATTACAGAATTAGCTACTAAAACCTAAGAATACAGAGCAGTTATCTGTATGTAGATTCTAATAGCATGTAGGCAATTGTTGAATGTAGTTCTCCGTGTCAGTGCTTGTGGGAGTTCAGAACTAAAACCCAGTGGAACAATGTATCATGTGTATTCACCAAAAGTAACAGCTTTTCTCATAGTTTTCCTAGGAAAAAATTCGTTGTAAAAAGTCTGGAGGAGGGGGAGAAATCACAGCCTATTTCATTGTTTGCAGTTTCTATTTCGCTATTGGGAAAAACTTTTCTCTGAAGAGTCTTACATACCACAGCTTCGTTTCTTCCCAGTTATGTCACTTGGATTCAGCTGAGGTGAAGAGATCTTGCTGCTCCATTTTCTTAATTTTTTTTTTCCTGG